ATGATAAAACTTTGGGATGAAATATCAAGTTTTCTCACATATTTTCCAGGAAGAGAGTCTCCAGAAGTATTAATCCTGCGAGTAAAACTGAGCTAGGACATGACCTTGCAAGCGCTGTTGAGTAACGGCACTTGAACTCTTAGCAATAAACACAAAGGGCAGCTTCCAAAGGTCTGATTCTTACATTTGAGAACTGTGTGGTACCTTTTGAATACGTGGCTGTATTTACCAGGCATTGTTAGATCTGAGCAAGGTACAGTGAAATTATAGTGAATCAGATGTTAAACTTTCCCCTTGCAATCCCTAAGAACAGGACTTGTGGTTAACATTCCTAGAGTTGCCTTTCTCTGCCTTCCCTGTGGCAACAAAAGGAAACTAAACTGAATATGAAATAGGAACTATAGAAATAGTTTCATGGTCCCATTCCTCTCCATTGCCTCTGGGGGAGGTAGGGCCCTATCCTTCCAACTGATCTTTACAAAATGCCTTCCCTTGGAGGTTCCAGGAAGAATCTTGATCAGCATCTCGCATGTCTTGAAGCTGATTGAGTATTTTAATGACCATTTCTGTGCTCACAAATGTTTGCTGTCAGGCTGGAGGACTGTGTGAATATATACACGCTTTCAGGGCTTACAGGTTTGTTTCCTTGCATGAACATGCAAGGAAATGTGTTAATATTTAATAGTGAACTCCAAAGTTGGCAGTTACATAATAACCTACAGGGACCCAATGAGTTTTTCTGCTCCCCCCTACGCCACAGTCCTTATGTAAGTAACTGATGCATCACAAATAAGGAATTCTAAAATGCTTTTCAAGTAAGTATCCAAAAATCACTTGCAGAGAATGTGCAGCCCCTAAACCTGAGTCATGTGTGTAGTCTAAACATCTCGCACTAGTAAAGCCCTTCTGTGCTTCTGGAGGATGCGATCTGGCTCGCTCTAAGTAACTAGCAGATGTTAGTCACGGGTGCAGGAGTCCCTGGAGGCTGTGAGAGCAAGGCAGAACCCTGCTGTTCTGAGTTCCAGTCATTTCTGCACCTCTGCAGTCAGCCGTGGCTCTGGGGTGACACTCAAAGCTTTGCCAGCAGCCGCTGACCTTGCTGCTTTGTGCCCCAGCCACTGATGGTGCAGCATCTCACAGAGGGCTTTGGGAAGCACTTTGGTACTTCAGTATCTTTTGGACTAATTTTGCAGCAAATGATAAGACACAACAAGGAATATGTAAATATAAATATTGCCGTATCTGTTACAGCTTAAAAAATACTTGTTAAGGCAGTGATTCTGTGATATTCATTGTATAATCTGTGGTTATCGTTCCTTTTGCCCTCCAACTGGATATGTTTGATAAAGTGACATCACTTAGAGTGGTAGTAGCAAGAGCCTAACTCTTGTAATGACAAAGCTGTAACTGAGCTGCGCAGTTTGCTTTAATAGCATCGGTGCTGGAGTTGCAGCTAAGGAAAAATGTCTTTGCAGAAAGTGATTAAATCAGAAGTTTTTATCATGGGAACTGTTGTCTTTCTGATGACAAAACCAGTTTGAGTGACTGAAAAAAATTACCTCTGGGAGTGTTGGGAGATTTTCCTTGGGAATTGAAATGCCACAAGCTATTCTCGGCTTAAAAATGGTACTGTGTAGGTTGAGATGAGGGGCTGAGAGGTGTGTGCTGTAGGTTGGGACTTTGTTAAGCATACAGATGTTCACAGGTTTTAAAAACCTTCATTTTCTGATTTAAAAATTACCACGCTGCAGCTGAAGACCGTGCAGTTTGTCACTGCAGTCGCGGTGCTGTTCAAAGCAGCTTTAAGAATCGCCTCAGAACTCCTTGAAATCAACCACAGATTCCTTTGACCTGCACAGGGCTTGCCTGCTGCTCTCTGCATTTGCCCAGATTTGGTTGCTCTCACAAGAAATATGTACTGAAATGGTGTCTGTGACCTTGGAAGCAACCTGCTCTTGTGTATCTTCCTTTGCTTTCTCACCTTCCCTTTTTGGTGCAAGTGTATTCAAGTCTTTTCTGTCATACAGTTCCCTTCCAGTATCTTGGTTTTTCTTTCTAAACCTAATAAATAAGTAAAACAGTGCTAATGCAGAGTAGGCTTCTCAGGCTGATTTTGAAATGACTGGCAATTAATTAGGTGCATAAATGGGTCTAGTACAGGTCGAGTGCTGGGTGCTCCCCGGGTTCTTGAGCAGGTTTTGTAGCCCATGTTTCTCATGAGATAGCAGCCCAGGCTGTTGTGACTTCAGTGTGCTGGTTTGAATTACTTTCCTTTTCTTTTTTCTTTTTTTCCTGGATCCTCTTCACCTTTGGATTTGATTTTCCTTTCATCTCCTCTCTATAGAGAACTTGTTCAACAGTCTTTGCTGACCCGTTTCTGGTCAAATTTAAGCTTATAAAATGCCGTTCTCCTCCCACAGGTTTTTGGTAACGTATTTTGCGATGTCTTATGGAAGACACAACCCTGGTAGTCCCTTTTTGTATTTCTGAATGTCCTTTGCTTTGGCACTTTCAGGTCCCCCCACTCCTCGGTGGCCTCGGCTCACCTGCCTGTTCCTGTGCACTTCTGGAATAAGCTAATCCATCTCATGGCTTCCTCTGCACTTTTGGTGCCAGCGGAGTTCAGGCTCCTTACATTCTTGACTTGCAGTCAAATCTATAATCTCAGTTTCAGATGCAGTATGCATTTTGTGTCTCACGAGGCTGAGGCTTTGGGGAATGTCACACATAGCATATGCTCATAGCTGCAGTAGGAAAGAGTTTCACATTAAAACTTGTTTACTTCTCTGAAATGGAATCTTCTGACAGATAGGACCTGTGTTAAATTTAATTGTAAATTAGCACTTCACAATTGACTGTCTTGGAATAAACCCCAGCACAAATCACACATGCACATTACAGATTCTTTTGTGCTGCTTTTGGGCTGTGCCTTTCAATAAAATCTCAGTCAGATTCGTTAGCAGCATCGGGAAACAAGTACTATCTTGTGAAAGCATAACGGCAATCTCGCACCTCAATGGTTTTTAAAGGCTCATATGAGCTTCCTTAATAGACATTAGATGCTTTAAACTACGTTTTGCTACTTAGGCATGATGTTATTAGGTCTTTTGGGTGTCTTATTTCTATTCCTTATTTTCCTCTTACCTGTAAAGTCGATACTGTGTCACTCTGTGTTCTACAGTAGGGAGGACAGATAGTATAAGTGTATAGTTAAGCGGTATGTGGGGTTTTTCCTACGAACACATCCAGTTTCTTCCTGTAAATTCTTTTAGGTCTTTCTAGAAGTTTTAGAAAATCCTGTGGGACAAAATGGCAGAACAAGAATTCTACAAACTTACACCAATAGAGGTGCAAGTCCCATCCCCTCCACCATCAGAGGGGAATAATTCTGAAACAGCTTTGAAGCAAGAACACAACATAGTTCAAGAACACGCTTCCCGACAGATGGGTCACTCCTTGAAGGGCAGGTGGCACTTTAAATCCTGCCTGTCTGAAAATCTCTTTTAAAACCATAATGAAATTGCTCTGAAATCTTACTGTTGTTTAAATGTAGACTTAACCCAAGTGAAAGGCAAAGCACACTCCCAAGAGAAGGGCGTTTCCTAGCAAAGATGTCCTTAGACCACTGACCTGTGTGAACCTTCATCCGCAGTACAAGGCCTTTACTAACAGAACCATCTTTATTGCACACAAGAAAGAACCGAAGTCACCTTGTTTAAACTTCTTTAAATGGACATTAGTGTCATCTTTCCTCCTTTGGCTTTAGGTAATTTTGTTGCTGTTCTTATGCAAGAGTAATTACTCGGCTGGTTAACGAATTATGGTGCTTATGCTACAGGGAAATCTTTGTGACTTAAAAATAGAAATCAAATTGCTTTTTAATTCCCTCTGGTGACAGGTGACGACTATACCAAAATTAAACTTCAGCCATAGGTGGAAGCAGCGCAGCTGCTAAGGGGCTGAGCTCCCTGGTACCTGGCAAAGATGCAGGAGTGATGCTGGATGCCTCCTTGGGTCAGTTTTGTGTGAAAAGTGAAGAGATTTCCTTCTTCCCTCGGACCTGGGAGAGGAGGCTGTGCTGTTCAGGCTCAGCCTTTGGTTCTTCTCTCCTGTCCGCTGGGATCTCTGAACTGTACTTTGCTGCCCACTGTGACAAGCTGCCTTTTCCCAGGCGTTACTTCATCAAGAAGGAGAGCTAGATTGGTTTTGTTTTGTGAACACTATCTAGGAAATGGTTTACATTTTAGTTGCATATTACTTTGAAATAAATAATTAGCAACGTGTCTAAAGCAGTTCAGAATTAACACTTCAGAATTAATACACAGAATGTATTTTTTCCTATTGTTTTACTTGTGGCAAAAATAACATCCAGTTCTATAAGCACGACCCACTGTATTCCTCTGTAAGGAAGAATGATGAATTGATATTATGCTATTATTTTTACTCAGTGGTCCCTAATACATTTCAGTATCACATTTGAATACTAATACTCTTAGATCAACTCTGTGTTTTCTTAAACAAGTGTTTTTTATAAGTGCATTGAGTTGAAATATTTAGAAATTGTATGTAGTGAAAAATATTTCTTACATCCATTTTAATTTAATCTCTTATAATAATTTAATGCCACTGCTTTGCATTGATTGATGTTACTCCTTCTTTCTGGAAGTGCTTGATGGACCAGGTGAAGCTGTCAATCCTTCTAATTGGATAACAGAATTGGTGCCTTCGTCTGTTTGTTTAGTTTAGGTTTATCAGGGATACCTTGTTCAGCAGGAAAAATAAAAGATCTAAAGTTTCTGTTGATTTCTTTCTCTTTTCCTCAGACATTATTTCTCTGTTTTTTCCTCTATTCTGCCATGTTTCATTTAGCAGACAGGACTTCACAAAGCAGTTCTGCTTCTTACCCTTGCTGTCATTTCACAGCAAGTTTTTCATCTTGTGATAAACATGATCAACCCAGTCTTCACGTGACTAACCAGTTCTTCACATTGTCTTTGCAGGATGTGGTACTGCAACAGGAGGAGCTGAAGATGAAGGTGAGGCTGAAGCTGGCTGGATTGAAGGTGCTGCCATCCTACTCTCTGTTATCTGTGTTGTGCTTGTCACTGCCTTCAATGACTGGAGCAAGGAGAAACAGTTTCGTGGGCTACAAAGTCGTATTGAGCAAGAACAGAAATTTACTGTTGTGCGAGGTGGACAGGTTATCCAGATCCCAGTGGCAGAGATAGTAGTTGGTGACATTGCACAGGTGAAATATGGTAAGTTCTGGCAACTTTCCTGAACTTTATTCTGTTTTCCCTTTCTAGCAGAACAGACTCATTTCACTGGAAGGGATGTAAAAGAGAATTATGTGGTGTTATTGTTGCCTATGATAAGATAACAATTTGGCTGTTAGGGTAGAAGGAAAACCTGAGATACTTGCTGTCAAATTACACTAGGTAATTCATGTTACTGTTGCAATCTTCACTGTCTCTCACTGACAAGGACAATAACTGTTCATACAAAGGCAATTCTCTTTCACGGAGGAGGACACTGTTTGGAATGTTTCGTTTCTGTCCTCTTAGTAATAAGAGGAAGTATTTTGAAATGCTCTGTGAAAGGGAATTGTGCCTCTGTGGGTACCCCATTTGGTAGGCTGCTCCAGAGCCATGGATCCTGTAAGTTCCCCCAGATCAGATGCATCTAGTGAATGATGTTTTATAATTAATTATGTGCTCCAGGGAAAGCCCTGGTCTCCAGTGACTTTTGCAAGAGCTCTGTGTTTGGCTGAGATGGTGAATTCCAGCACAATGCCCATTCTGTCAACCTTCAGGTTTCTCCTGGACTCAGCGAAGGGCTTCCAGAGTGGGGAAGGGGAAAGGGCAACTTGACCTTCATCAGCCACTATTCATTCCTGTGCAGGCTAATAGAGGAACCTGCATGGCATGTTCAAGAGCAGCAGCACTCCCCCTGCCAAATCTCAGTGATTATTGTGTTCACTGTATGTTAAATGTGATGCATTTTGATTCTGGGACAAGATTAGGCAAAAACTATGCGCAATACAAAAGGCCCTTCCCAACAGGATTGGAGTTCTGTGGCTAACATGGACAGATATGGTAGTAGTTCTTTCACTTCTGCTTTCATTTTACATTTTAATGCAATTGTTGTTAATTGTGATTTTACAATGAAAACTATGATGTAGTTATAAGAACAATCTTACTAAACCACTCTGGTTTTCCATTACCATTTTCTTACTGAAAGGTGACCTTCTACCTGCTGATGGGATATTTATTCAAGGAAATGATCTTAAAATCGATGAGAGCTCTTTAACTGGAGAGTCAGACCAAGTCCGCAAGTCTGTTGACAAAGACCCAATGCTCCTGTCAGGTAAATATGCTGGAATTCTTGCTGAGTTACCTCTTATGCACTGCTTTGTTTCATTTTACCACACCGTCAGGTGTTAGTAACTGATCTTTTGAACACAGACACTGGCCTTCTCTTTGCAATTCAAAGGACATGCTATGGAGGTTTGATTCTGTGCAGTTATTTCTGATTGCCGTGCTTTATAAAGTGAGAAGGAAATGAAGTATTTTCAGAGGAAACAAGCATTTTAAAGTCTCTTTGAACACTTGGTGTATGTGCTAGATACAACAGAGAAAACCCAATGTGCTTAGAAGGAAATGCTAGAATACTAGAATGCTGTGAGCTTAGCTTCTGTGGTAAATTCAAGCTCTTTGTAGTATTTGTATTTTGTAATATAATTCTATACAGTAAATTGGTTAAATAGAATGTGATTTTTTTAATCCTCATAGTTTCTAAATAGGTTGATTGTCAATATCCCAGCTGGGATGTCATCACAGTGTAACAGCCTGCTGATGCCACAGTCATCATCAATGTGTTATAACCTGAAACAGTCATTTTCAAATATACTTGAGCTTTTTATACATGGAAAGGATTCTCTTTGCTGTCTGGATATACAAGGGTCAGCCAAGGGGCACCCCAAATAGAACACTGATGTGGTGGTGCAGCAGGTCAACATGCAGCCCTGCAGCATTCCTGCCCCAGCCTGCCTCCCTGAGCGGGAGATTCTCAGGCAACACCTGCCATCACATAATGAGAGCACTGACTGTCAGGTTATGAATGTTTATCATGTAACATATGGAACTGTGGGCTGCTAAAACCCCGCCAGCCTTCAGTCAAACGTAGCTGCATTAACTTAAGATGAAGGAATTGCTAATGTTACTGGTGGACTGGCCATTGCCACGGACTTCATGTTGCAGAAGACCATGTTAATTCATTTTAACTTTGGCAAGCTGCAAGCATCTTGCTCCCTGAAATTATGTACTGGATTATTGTTTTCGAATGACACAAAAAGTTTCTATCACTTCTGAGACTAAACCAGCAAAACAAATGGCTTTTTAGGAAATAAAAAGAATCCTTTAGTTTCTTTAAAAATATTCTGGGTTTTATTTATTATTTTGCTGCAGTGTGCTGCCAAGTGTAGGCCTTTTGATGTTCATGTTGTAAAACCCTAAATGTTTCCAAATTATGGATGCCTGAAAATGTGTTTACACATGTTAAATAGAGGATAGTAAAGCTTAGTGGTGTATCTGCAAACTCCAAAGGGTGCATTTGTGCGAGGAAGGTACGAGGAAGAGCTGAGCATTTGCAGCTCATGCAGAAATTCTCAGTTGGTGGGGACAGTGCCAGTTGGGGTTTTTGAGGTTTTGGTGTCCCTCTGGCTCCCTGAGGTACTGAAAGGAATTTAAGGGAGTGTTCTGACATCCACCTGACATCCAGTGTGTGAAGGTACTGACTCATTTTTGCTGGATTTACAGTAATTTGGTTTATCTTCTGGATTAATTTAGGATTCTCTTGGAGATGCTTTCTGGTGTGTAAGCAGGGAGGCCTGCAGGGATATTTGGAGGAAGGGCAGCTCACTGGTGCTGTTCCTAACAAAATCAGTAATCCAGTGTTGTCCTTGAAATATTTGTGCAGTTTTTTTCATTTCTTTTTTCTTAGCTGGCAGTTGTGCTGTTCTGCAAACATCGTAACTGCAACAGACGGTTTCGTTTTAAAGAGATCGTTTTAATCGTGATATTTTCTTATAGAAACTTCTGTCATGAAATATCATTGGCTTCTATCAAAATCAACTGTTGCTGAGTTCTAGAGGTTTTCTGATCATGAGGTTTCCATTGATTCATGTACACTCACATATTCCTAAAGTGAATCAGATCTTTTTCAATACCCATAGATTTCCATGCTGGCTGTGAAAAACATGAAGGTGTTGCCCTGAAAGGGAGAGAAAGGGAAAGCAGTCAAGTTAGGAGAAAAGATGGTTTTGTGTTGCTTACTAAAACTCGGATTTTTTTGCTATGAGGAGAGAAATTTGTCTTTACGTTTTTATTGCAGAGTTAAATCAAGTGTGTACTCTATTTTTCTCTCTTCCCATGTAATCCCTATTGTGATTACAAAGAAGGTGAGGAATTAATGTGGTATTTTAACAAGCACTGCACTCACCTTTGTTCCATACTTGTACTAATGATGTTTTACTCACACTGTGTTAGAAAATCTCTAAACTCTGTTTGTTCAGGAGTTGATACTCTCTCAAGCAAAAAAAAGAAAGACCTTTTTCCATCGATACAGTACAAAGTTTAATCCCAGTGACGTGAGAGCTGATGTGCCCAGTGGAAGTCATTAGTAGCCCAAAACCTGAGAGCTTGTAAAGCACCATGTCTTTCAGGGGTGGGTGTTAGAACTCAGTTTGCCTTGGATGTTAGCCCAGATCTGTATTTATATACAACTTGTCTAAAGAACGAAACCCTCACCCGAATCAATCCCCTGCAAAACCATCAGACAGACCATAAATTTTCCTCTTATCTTTGTACTTGAAGACATCGTTCGGTTATCTTCAGGTAGGTTTCTGTAGTTTAGACAGATGTTGGCAGGATGTTGCTTGCCACTGTTCTCCCTTAATCATCTGTTGGAAATAAAAACAGTTCAGGCTTGACAGGAATAACTGAAAAAAGGTAACACCTGAATTGGAGCCACAGTTTGTTTGGTGAGTTTAAATTTGGTGCAGGATAAAACACCCCAATCAGGGAGTATTATTTTCACCATCGGCACCTGGAACAACTTGTTTAATATGCAGTCAGTTTGGATGACATAATTAAACTAAATGAGTTTCTGTGCTTAATGTCCTGTTTGATCATCCAGATAGTCATTTACCATACTTGAGAAGCAGTTCTAGGAGTACAAGTGCTGGCTAAAGCAGATAGTTCATTTCCATCTGTATATAGCACATTCGGTGCCACCTAGGAAGGCAGAGATAGAAATAGATAGGCTGATATGATATACCTGAAACCAAAGGAAGCAGCTTCTCTTATATAGTTCCACTGTACTTCTGTCTAAAACATTTTCCTTCTTTTAGTTCAGTAACAGACTGAACTAGAAGAAGCATTCATGGTGTAGCATAAGCCATTGCATCAGTAGTGATCAGCTTAAATGAGATTGTGCTGACATAGTATTTTTTTGCATGGCATATATCAACCAACGATGAAGACAACTTGGGTAAGCAAACCAACTGCTACTCAACTGCCTTGATTGAAGCTGATGGGTCCCTTTAAGTTTTGTGTAGTTCAAAGTTCACAGAAATCCATGACTCCTAAATAGAGACATTTTGAATATGAGTCTGGCCTCAGTATTGCACACAGTGAAGTATTTTGGAGTACCATGTATTATAATAGTAATAAAATGCCTTATGAGGCTTACTGTTTAGACCTTTTTTTTTCCCCAGGCATTTAGATTAATTTGATTAAGGTATGAAAGAGTTACATAGAGGAACTCACCCAGTATAGTTCTTGCTGAACTGAACTTGACAGATCACTACTTTACTCTAACCTGACTCTTACAGATGGTTACTTGTATCAGTGCACAACAAGGATCTGAAACGAAGAGAGCTTATTTAAGAACACATATACAAAAGAAATCTCTTTTTGTGGTGCTTTGTGAGGTTTGGAAAAAAAAAGGAAGCTGGAGTGAGGAACCGGGTCAGTTGTTTTTTGGAGAAAAGCAGTTCTGATTCTGTCTTCATTCCCTGCCAGGAAATACTCGGCCCTGGGCTTCCAGTGCATCAGAAATGGTCCGAACTGAGCAGCTCACTTCAGAAGTTCCGGTTGTTGAAGTTACTTGTGGATGAGGGGGTTTCTTCTGGTGGTTTGTTCACCTTATTATTAATTTCAGTTACCTCTTAGTAACTGCAGTGACTGAAACAGCTGCTTAGATATGCTGAGAACTTTTGTTCACCCCAAGTTTGCTGGAAGTAGCAAATCAGTGTAAAACCCCCAAACTGCCCAGCTCTAGCTTTCGTTTTTGTTTTTCAGCTCTATTTCCAATCTATTTCACCAGTACTACTATTAAACTCAGGTAGTTCTGAGCAGTCTCATGCTTAGTGGCATTTTTGTCTGAGAAGTACACGCTGTAATAGGTTTCTTATCCATTGAACCTGTTTCTATCTTTTTTTACTAAACTAGACTTCTTCCTTTTGTATCTTGGAATAGTCGTAATTTAGTAAGTATTTAATTAACTTGAAATTAAATACTCAGCATGTGAAAGAATGATTTTACTAATATTGAAAAACCAGTCTTGAGAAGGAAAGGGGCCAGTAGAATTGTTCAAGATGAAGCTGAAATATGTGCTTAGTGTGCAGATCAGTGAAAAACACACATTCATTCCAAAACTCCATTTCTATAACAATAGCTGATTGAAGTTACAGTGCCCATGTCTTTATTCAAGGTAGTATAATGCCATTTAAATGGTGAAATTGCCAGTTAGGTGAAAGGAGGTCAGTTCTGTGGCTTAGCTTAGATGCTGCTGAATTCTCCATAGCACTAGCGGAACATAATGTGATGATAAATTAGTACCATCTCTAAAACATGCTTTTGTGTGCACCTGAACAGGTTTGAATTATGTTTTACAAAACTAATGTTAGGAAAAGGTTCAGAAAGGCATTTCAGGTTAAGGCAGGTTTGTCTTTTCCTGGTGTAGGGTGGTGAAATCTGGTGGGTACATGTTTTCTTAATAGAGTGGTTTGGAAACAGAAATGTGTGTGCCAAGTTTTGGAGGATATTTCTACCCACCCTTGTAGTCCAGTACAAAGAGTCCTTCAGAAAAAGACATGGGAATATTAAAAGCAAGTTCTTAATTGAAATATGTTTTAAATGGTGTTAACATTAAAAAAGAAAGGCTCCTCTAATTTTGAAGTGAAGTTTCAGACATTTTCTGTTTTGTCTGAGCCAATACAATGCAGCTTATTTTGGTTTTTAAAGATCTGTTCCTTTAGGCTTGAACATAACTTGTGTTTTGTTGTTTGGGTGGCAGTCCTGATTTGTATGCCTGTGATGTTTTTCTCTATCAATCATATGAAAGAAAGCAAATGACATTTTAAGGACTCAAATTTTGTCTCACAAAGCCACAGGAACAGTTGTCAATGAACTGAGAAAGTCTGTTGCTTTTCTTTGCGATGTCTGACCATTAGTGCATTTTGGTTTTTATTTGGCTTCTTTCTGCTGAAGTTTTCTCAGTGTTCTGATGAGATATTTATGCTCTCAAATTAGGTTCAGTGTTGACAGATGTTCTCTCTGTTCTGTGTTTCTATTTTCCTTTTAAGAACATGAGAGATTTTGATTATTTAGAGAAAGATATTTTGATTATAAATAGATAGTTGCATTGCTTACCATGTTCTAGGACAGCGACTGGATGAACAGCAAGCGTTTGTGTGTGTGTGTGTGTGTATATAATACAAATCTGTATAAGGGCACAGGTCCATATATCTTCACTTTTTTTAGCTTTTGAGAGAACTCACTGAAATGAGTATATTTTCTGTACCTAAAAAGCAGTGTTTTTTTTTAAAGGGAGGGGAGAAAAGATCTTTCTGTGGCCATTCAGGGTTAGGAGACCTGAATGCCCAATAAGATTCTCATTGCGAAATCAATTCTACTCCCCACGTGCTCAGTGCAGCCAGCTCATGGTGCAGTCAGTCAGGAGTCCATGTTGCAGGAGCTAGCAGAAAGCTTGTTTGAAGATGGCTCTTTTGTTATGGTTTCAGGTGTGCCCTGCTGCAGTACATTCCAGAACTACAAGCCCCAGTGAACAACTTCGGTTTTAAAATGTTGAGTGGTAGTTGGTGATGGTCGTGGGTGAGTGACTAGGGGCAAGATAGCTGAGAATAAGCTTACCAGAATTTTTACCTCATTAGCCACAGCACTATTTAGGACAAGTCAGTTAATGCCCCTGCCAAATTCGTGCTGCTGCAGCATGAATGAAACTGTGGTGTTGTCTTAAGGAAGGTCAGTGGATCTCACATTTTTGGTGAACTTGTTCTGATTCCATCTGGTCTCATTCTTCTGGTGTTCCACAGCTGCAAATGGGGAATAATGACTGCTCTTAAATAAAATGTATTTAGAACTGTAGCACCTAGGATTAAAACCAATTGTTAAATAACAGAATACTTCCTGAGCAGGTTCTAGTTAACCATGGGTCTTCCCGTAGTTCACCTGGAGGTATAAATGTACACTCGTCTTTTTTGTGTGCTGTGATTTTGTTTCTCAGGGCTGACAGCTGGTGTGTTACAGTCTGTTTTCATCGTTTCCAAACTACTTCCTCCTTCATATACAGGAAAGAATATTTAAAAGAGTACAAGTCCAGTAAGCTTCCCGTCCTTGCTCTTGTGTTGAGAAATTACAGCTTTTCCTCTGTGTTCGCACAGTGACTTACGCTTAATGGGCATAACAGTTTTCTGCTCGGTTGTAAAATTTTTCCAAGATTTAAATCAGAATATTTTCTATCACTTCTGGGAATTTCTATTGGTTTTTGCTCCCACAACTCATAGCAAAAGGTTTCTTAGAGGCTATGTGTGACCTGGATGCATCTATTGTTTGGTTCAATATAGGAACAAGAGCTGTAAATAAACAATTTCTGTACACTAAAGCATGAAATATTTCTGGAAAGGAATTTACTTTAAAGAATGGTAAAATTATCTAGTTAAACAAATGATCCTTCTCGGGAAAACTTAACGTACATTTTGATTGGTACCGCAGTAATAGAAATCTCTCACAATGAATTTGTTTTCAAGTACCTGTTTGGGATTCTGCTGGTTTACTGTAACATCTCCTTGAAGACTTTGTGTGGCTTTTTTCATTTTAAAGACGTGAAATTCTCTTCAAAAACATTTTTTCTATGCATGTAAATCAAGTGAGCAAGATGAGAAGAAACCGCACATGTATTTTCACTTCATTTATGTGACAATATTGCATGTGCAGTCAGTGCAGTCTTGACCAGAGTCACAGAGGAATGCTTGCAGAACTCTGAAAGACTGCTCAAAGTTACAAGAATTAACTAGATGAAGCTAAACTTTCCCACAATTATGTAAACTCGGTTAGTGACAACATTCCTTTTGAAAAAGGAATCTGATGCGTGTGGTTCATGCAGGTGCAGCCTGGGATTTGCAGTTAAGCATCCATTCTTGGTAGAGAATAATATACAATAGGGGTTATTTTTGGTATGTAATTATATTACCTCAGTATAGATTTTTTAAATGTAACAAATTTATTTCAGTACTATAGTAAAAGTCTTGCATAAAATATTTAATGGTGGTTCTTTCTATTTTTTCAGCTACATATAACTCTCACTGCATATTTTCAGGTACTCACGTCATGGAAGGCTCTGGACGGATGCTGGTAACTGCTGTGGGTGTGAATTCTCAGACAGGCATCATCTTCACCCTGCTAGGGGCTGGAGGAGAAGAAGAAGAAAAGAAAGATAAGAAAGGTAAATTTCACAACACATAAATATGCTCTGAAGAAAGCTCTTGGGCTTTGTGTAGCCAGGGCTCTCCCCCATTTCTGACAAATAAATATGATTTTAACAACTTCCTTTTTTGTATACATTTTTGTCATTACATGTCACACAGAAAAACAGCCAAAGCTGTTAACCAATAAATACATTGGATAACAAGATGTTTTTCCAGTGTGAAATTGTGGATTCTTAGTACATAATGCAATCAAGGGAACACATGGGCACCCACCCATTGCCATGTCTTCTTTACATAAACCCATACTCACCAAAACTTTGCTAAGGTTTTGCTCTTGTGCATTTAACTCTATGTACTATTTTTTTCAGAAAAAAACCAACAACTTGGCCATGGAAATAGCCTCTTTCTTTGAGCTTCAAAAGTAAAATAGAGATTCATGGTGGCTTTTTGCTTGCCTGGGTGTTTAATGACTGTAGAGGCATTTTAATTTCTTAAGGTGTAAAGTTCTGGCTAAGACTAATAAGAGACAAGAAAGTAGCAAAAACTGTTGACAGAATTTAGCTTTGAAGTCTGATGCCAGTTAATGGAATCAAGAAGTCTCTGTAGACTTTTTTGCCTTCATATAGTGATGCCATAAGCAGTTGCTAATTTATGGCTTGCACCCATAAGCAGAAACATGATTTAATGTGTGTGCTTTCCAGGTTTGGTTCATAGTCTTGTACATTGTTCAAGTCTCCTTTCAGAATCTCGTTCCAAGTTTGTTCTAAGAATATTTATCTGTCAGAGTTAATTTTAGGGCTAATTAAGATGGGGTTTTAGTAATTTCACCACTTTTCAGTGGGTTTTGCCATCGATGAAAAAGAGCAGCTAGAGCTTTACTGAACGTTTGACTTAGTCTCTGTCAGGAAGTGTGATTCCACCTTTTTGTCATTTCCATCCTATTAATTTGAAGCTGCAGCTAGGAAGGCCAAATTCACATGGTTTTCATGACCTACAATTTCCATTTCCGAATACGTGGAAAAGGTGGCTGCACTTGTTTCTCTGAGGAGATCCCTTTTGAGTTGATGGAAGGCTTTATGCAATGTTTACCCTTTCATTTCTACCCAGAAATTCACAATACCTGCTAGGAATGGTTAGTTCCGGGACCATTCAGGCTGAAACTTCCCAAAGTAAAGCTCTTCCATGTCAGACTGGTTTTGAACAGTATCTTAGAGTTTGATCTTGCTGCGATTAAAAGAAAGGCTCTTGGCCATGGACCTTTTGAGGTCTGGCAGCATCTGTTTTGGCAGTGACAAAGGGTATTATAGGTGAGGAAGAGGAAGCTCAGTACCTATTTGGAAGTGACAGCCATTTGCCCTTCTGTCCCTGTTTAACTGGGCTGGCCTTCTCTGTGTGTTGTTTTGCTCAGGACACTGATGATTCTCTCGTGTCTCTTTGTAGATGGCCTTGAAAGACAGCGAAAGAGAAATCAGAGGTAGCAGAGTAATGCACTGCACTGTGCTTGTAACTTACTACCCAGACACAGAGACTCTGACACATGTATCAAAGAACTTTATATGCAGACACTGAATCTAATTGGATATAGCTACAATACCAAGAAAATCCCTTCACGTTTTCTACTGTTGGTAGCAGCTTTGTGCTGGGCAGAGCTGGCTGTAGATTGAGGCCCAGCCTCAAATAATGTACTCTCGTGTATGAACCTGCAACTCTCTGAAACCCTGCAAATCATAAATGTTTGTTTCAGTCTCCTGTGGGTGCATGCTTTTATTGTTCATTAATATTCTGTTAAAAACCATCATGCAGGTGTGAAACAGGAGGATGGACATCAGCTTCCAGGTAGAGTAAGAATTGTACCACGTCAAATGAAAGGATGAGGCTTTTAGCCAGCAGCTTTGGGGCAAATCATGGTTGAACTGATAATTGTCTTTGAATCAGTGCAGTTAAATTAAAGAATAATTTAAATCAGCAGGATTGTTCGTGGCAAACATTTCAGTGTGCGTGCATTGTTGGTGTTGCAAGTCTTAATGTTAAGCTTGAATAATCAGTTACTCTGAAGCAAATTACAGCCTATTAAATGTTGGAATGCATGATTTGCTGCTGGTAGTTCATGCTGCGCTGGTTAGTGTGACTATCCAAATGGCATAAAAAATAAGCATGAGTAACCAAAACAGTTTAAGTTATTACCAGCACAGCAGTCAAATTTGCAATTAAAATTTGCACGAACGTAGTCACCCAGGGCATGTTTTTAACTCCTGTCTGCTGTTTATTTTCCTCTCCCAATTTACCATTTGTAAATAAAAGGAGGCTATCGTTCTTGAATACCAAACCAGTACAGTGGCAAACAGCCACTATGGGTTAGGTGCTGCAGGAGTCCAAGAGTCTCAGTCAGGATTCATTACAGGACTTCTGTGTTCCGTTGAGAACAATTGACCAACACGAACCAAACAAGGCTTAGTTAATCTATTATGTACGGAGGCTAAACTTGTGAACTCTAGTATAAAACACATAATAAAGTAATAAAACCTTCCTTGGGTTTTCCACCTTCCTGCTAGGAAAGATTTCTTGACCGGTTTCGCTACTTTGCAGATAATGGCTAAAACCAGAAAAAAATTATTTTCTGATACATTTTTCATTTCATAACAAACCAGTTCCATTTGTTATTTGGATTTAAAATAACTCCTTGTTCTCCTCAAAACTTCATTTGCCATTTCCACGTACAATATTGAAAAGCTTAATGTTTCTGTTCAGGTCAATGTGCATATTAACTAGGTTATGGTAGGATATAGGTTGAGCCCATGTTAGACTGGGTTATATCAGCAATAACACATCATAATATGCAACATGACATAAAATACAAGATCTGTAATGTTGTGAATTCATAAACGTAATATAATAATGTAAAAACAAATGTAATGTGTGAATTCATAAACTCAAGGGAAATATTTCAACCATTTTAATATTTGCATAACATTATATTAAACAAATCACACATAAAAGGACCAGTGCAATGCACATAATACTGTGTACTGTCAGTTCTCACCAACTCTATTAAATGCCTTTCATTTTATTTACTTATTGTTATTCCATGTATGAGTTTTTGCTTTTGTAACATCTCTGTAATGATATTTTGCTTTTGAAAATTATGTTAATTAATTTAAACGAGATTGATTTGAAGAAAACAAAGCCTCAGTATTCCATAAATGGTTTTGTTTTGTCATGTGCATTTGTTCATGTTGTTGTTATTATTATTATTTATATTTTGTTTTTTTATCCATTATTGCTCAGTAGATTCTTCCCATCCCTCCTCCCACCCTCCTTCAGCTACAGATGGTGCAGCAGGTGCAAATGCCACTGGTAATGCAAATGCCAGCTTAGTCAATGGTACGTCACGAACACCCAGTTTGCTGTATTTGATAGATTCCTCTCCTGACTCTGTAAGATCCCCTCCTCCTTTGATGAACTGCACAGATGTTATATGTGCATGTGATTGCCCTCTGAGAGATCCTACTCCGTAAACTCTATGGTAGCTTATAAGAGATGCCACAAAGATGCTACAACTGGCTTCATTCACACAGATTTAAGCAGGGAGAGGAAGAAGTAGGAATTATGATCTACTTGTCATTAATTAAAACTGCAGTTAAAAGGACCAGTTAAGCAAGGCTAGTTTCAAAACTTTTGAGCTGCCTTCATTGTAAAGTTCTTCACATATTTGCCAGCATAGATCTGAAGAACACCATGATAAAATGATTCTCTCTTCTTCTGATGTGGCACTCTCATAAGTATTCATTAGTCTTCATGCAGCTCTGAGAAACAGTGCTTGGGATCAGGAATCTGGCTCGGTTTCAACTAACAGTCTGTTAGGAATTTTGCTGCGCTGAGCATCTTTTTTGGAAGATTAGACAGGGATCATCTAATGAACCTGCCTGTATTTACAAAAAAGAAACAAAAAAATATTGCAGTAGTCAGTTTTGGCTGTCTCTTAGTACAGATTCTTGACCCCACTTCTTAGCATGCAGATATCTCTTTGAATAGTCTAATAACAGTATTAAGTGGAATGGGTCAATATTAGTCTAGGCAGCAGCTCTATTTTTTTGTAATAATCAGATGCATTAGTCTTTATTTGCCATAAAACCCTTCCACTCTTGTGCTGCACCAGGAGCACTGACAACAGTATTTCTGCTTTTCATCGTGTTGGTGATAGAATGTTTTTTCCATGCAGGTCAGTCATTCTTGCATTATGCATGTGAAACCAGAGCTTCTGACACAGCAATGCCAAGTACTAGACAAGTACGAAGATTTACTGGTGCAATATCTTATTTAAAGCAATGGCAAAGGAAATCTCTGAGGCTATTTTAAAAGAATTTTATTAGGATTCAAAAGAAACATGTAACCAGATTTTAACTCTGCTCCTTCACATGCTAAGTTTGTGGGGACACTAGGATTTATCATTTCTACATCTCACTGCATGACAGGAACGTGTATCATCCTGGTTCCTGCACTGTGATTTCAGATTCCTTAGAGACCAAGAACCAGGAAATTAACGATGAATGTATCATTCCCCATTCTTTATGCTCTATAATTCTACTTTGTTGTGTGTAAACCAGATGTACGCATACCAAGTCTTGCCAGGTATCACCCCCCAGTCCCTCTGCAGACTGCAGTGTCACAGTTACGATCAGTCATGCAAGTTGCACAAAGTTAAGCATCTGCTTAAGTGCTTTGCTGGGTGACAACTGCCACTCAGCAGGATGCAGAGATGAGTCCTAAATAGTTCCAACCTCGTTTCCACGTTATCAAGCTTTAGTTGCCTGGTAAATACCTTTTATGTTCTGTCTTACTGCCTGAACCTTGTATATAAATGGAGTTCCAAGGGAAGTTAAGTCAGTGTCTTAAGTAAGTATGTGATTTTCTGTCATATACTTTCCCATCAGAAACAATACTGTCCTGTTTAGCTTGGAGTTGAGAGATAGATCCTCACTTGGTTTCAGTGCACAAAGTGCAGAAGTCAGTTTTCTGTGCAGCTGAGCATGTTTTTGCTTTTAACTCCTTTGAGGTGAGGTGGTAGAACTAATTCTGCAGATCTTTGATCAACATGAACAGGAGATACTTTCCACAGTTCAACTTATCTGACATGTGTGCAGAGGAGAACAGATTCCTGGCAAGTAGGGTCAGCCCTTCTTTGAAATTGTCTGGGGAATTGCCAAATTCCGGTGTGTTTATACGACGCGTTTCCCTACTTAGTGATGGGGATGAGTTAGAGAATAAAGTAGATATGTATGGAAGGGGGTTTGGATGGGAGAAAGGAAGGAAAAAAGTAAGGTCTAAAGTAAGGAGACCAAGTTCATGCAGATATTTTTTCAGTAGGGATGAAATAATGTTTTTTCAATAATGTCAGAGGATTCTCCCTGAGATGTGACTGGAAAGAAGCATGTTTTACCTGAAGTCCTATACCTCTGTGTAGCAAGTACCTCCAATTAAGAAAAAGATATTATATACTTGAATAAGTACCTAGCTCAGGAAATACTGTTGCTTTTTAATTGAAAACATGTTACCTTTTCAGAGAGAATATTGTCTTAGTTGTCAATATAGAGTTGACACAAAAGAAATCAGTTGTTTTCAGTCAGTGAGCTTATAGTGTTAAATTTGTGCAGGTTTGTGACACAATCTGTGTGTATTGAAGGAACTGCTATAACATCTGTTGAGTTCTAGTAGTTGAGATTAAAATACATAACTGTTTGATGGTCTCCGTTAAAACTACGGGCAATATGTTCAGTTTTTAGAATAAGTAGATGAGAAAATGTTACAGAAATGTAATTAATGAAAATTCATCTATTTTTAAAACGCATTTAAAAAGGGTAAATTTTTTAGAAGAAAATACGGGAAACGACAATCACTGTTTCAGCTTGTTTACCCCAAATTTGATTTCATTAGAGAAAGGAGTGCTCATCGCTGTTGTTAGAGCACTGCTCCATTCCTACTCCATATCAGGTTGTTGGGGGTGTTTTTCCATTTGGTACCAGAATTTGTTACTGAAAATTATATTCTGGTCCAGAAATACCCCAGCAGACCCAGAGAAAAGTCTCAGCTGAAATACTCAATAGGTACCGTTAATTCTGTCAGTTCTGGCACATGCATGCACATCACTGTGCAATTCCTGCAGAACAATCTGCAGTTTTAATACATTTTAAAGTATTTTCTGAACTGTAAGTGAAGTTATTTAGTGTGTGCATAGGAGAATTGGCTAAAACTTCCTGTTAGGTAAAGTGGAGTCAGATCTGTACTTTTGTAATCAACCTGTGTTTTACTAATGCGTTGGCTCTGATACCAGCCTGCATGAGAGAATTCCAAGTATTCACTGCAGATCCATTTGACGTCATTCTCCCCCCTATATATAGATTTGCAATGTGCGTCTGTTCCTGCTAGCTGCAGACTAAAACTTGGCATGAAGAGGGCTATAACTCATTTCCATTGCAAGAGGAGCCCTTGTGGAAAAACCACAGGGTATTTTGTGCTTTTCTGCTCCATCACAGCACATAAGAACACAGCTCCATTAGCTGCTTCAGGTGATACCGAGCAGTTCCTCCCATGTACAAACAGTTTCTAATGCCAGTGATAGATCTTTGTTATTCTGTGCCACTGACTCCTCAGAAAGGGCTGGGAGAAGGAGGTAGGTGGGAGTCTTGTCTTGGAAGGTTTATTTGGAGAAGTACCTGTCTTTCGGAGTAGGAGCTCAAGACCGGTGCCATGGGTGCTTTCCAAAGGACAGATTTTAGTAAGGCAAAGACAACATGCAGAATGTGTTATATTCAAATTCAGAACCTTCAGAGCAACTGCAGAATGCAAGTCATAGTAGGAGGCTCTGTGTTCTTATAACAAACCATCATCCTTGCTTGGAAAAGTGATAAAAATAAACTCAGAATTGGACTCCAGGGCCCAAACACTGTTCCTTTTACTTATTTCAAAAAAGAAAAGAAGAAAAGATTTGCAACATTTATGGGAAAATAGATTACACTTTAAAAAAGAATTATGTATAAAACATTATCAAAATATCAGTAAATACTCATCCCTTTAATGTTTCTAAACAATGCATAAAAAAAACAGAAAGATGGGATAGTATTTCTGGTCCTAGCACTAACTGAAAGGAGAAAGGATCTCTCAGCAGTAGTGATTCTGTCAGCTCATTTTCTTTCTTAATTTCTTTCTTTATTCATAATTTATATCCAAGTGCAAGCTTAAAATTATTCTGAACAGGAGGAAATAAATCCTTTACATTCTTTTCTTTATATTTTCTCTGTCATAATTACCTAAATTACCTGTTCTTTGTTATTCCATCTACATAATCAGAAAATCACTAGCTGTGATGACTCTCCCCTTGCCCCAACAACCTAAACGCAGTAGCTGCTGAGGTTAAGAATATATTTCTTACATATTGGTGTTCTCACTGTTGTTAGTGATTATCCATTTGGTGTCCTGCTGGTTTATGGTAGCCAGGGTAGATGAATTGTTAGTGTAATTCATTACAACAATTATAATACCACTACTAAACAGCAAATAAATAGCATCAAATTAAATACTTGGATTTACATAGAAAAAAAAAAAAAGTTGTGTTTTCCAGTTATGCAAGCCTTGGGCTTGGGTTTGTTTTGGTTTTTAAATGGCAGAATCATCAATTATACTGCTTTAAGGTTTTGATTTGTGTTCTGAAAAGAGAGCTATAGAGCAGACTGCTCTAAATGAGGGTTTTCCAGTTCTTAAGGAAGGCTTTATCCTCTAGCCAGAATCTCTAGAGATGCTTTATGTCTTCCACTAACTTTATTAAAAACCATTCTTAAAAAAATAGCCATTAGAGAGATAGCAAGTTCAACTGTGAACTCTGTGTACAATTTCTTCAGGAAATTCCACAGCAAAAACAAACTTGGTTTTGTTTGGGTTCGTCCATGCATGTCTCATGGCAAAGGGGAATGTACTATATATTATTACAGCCAAGATGGGAACAGAGTTAGAAATCTGAGACCCCCTTGCTGTGATTGGCCTCCTGTACTCTGGAGGTTCTCAGTTCCTGCGGCTCGCTAGCACGGGGTGAAGTGATGAATTCATGGCTGATTTGGCCATTTGTCCTCTTTTGGACAGGGAAGGTTTTAGTGATCTCCCAGTTACTGAAAATACAAAGATGCAGGAAATGCACCTTAGCCTTTATAGTTTTATAAACTCTAACGATGCATTTCTGATTGGAATGTGTCAGAAATCCTGTAAAGGTGGTTTAACTATTAAATTTCTTTAGCATTATTTATTGTGCATTATACATAACTATACAAAGAGAATGTCATCCCTTCTGACTGTCACATTGACAAAACTCAAGCAGTCTTTTCAATGAGATAAATTCCGATGTCACTGTGAAAGTTTCCTAAGGGTCCCACCAAGAAATTTTGAGTACCTTTGAAATTGTTTGCTGGTGATTCAAACACCAAGATTTTGTCCACTCCAGTTTGTGTTCTGCCATTGGTATTTCAGAGACACTTTCAAATGGTGTATGTTCAGTTTTAAAAAGAAAGAAATCACATAAGGACGTTAGAACGCTGAGGCTCTCTGTAGCTAAAATAGGAAATTGGATGCACTTGGCAAGTATATCTTCAGGATAAACCTGACTATAGAACGATCTCATGGCACTTGATTAACTTGCTAAGTAATACAACTAGGGGAGGAAAATGCAAGTTAAAAACCATTTATGATTTACATTTTTATTCATATTCGTTGACACAATTATTTATATTTTGTCTTAATTTACTAAAATAGTGAATTTAATTCTGGACTACATTAAGATAGTCATGCTGTATACTGCGGTGTGCAAAAATTACGCCTGTGGTTCTTTTAAGTCCCAGTTTTCTGAAATTTCATTTCAGGAATATTATTCAAATATTAATTTTCACTGGATTCTTTTTTTTAGTTTCACCCTCTCAACTTCTGCAATTTGCTCAAAATCATGTGCTGATACTTAATATTTATATGTTACAACACTGAACTTGACTGCAGTCCATGAATGTGTCCAGCTAAGTCGTCCTAAGTAGATGTATAATAGCAATGGTCTCTGACCATAAAGAAGTACCTGTAACATGCTCATTGCTTTTGTCTGCCCTTTTTTATGTAAATTCCCATTTTCATGTTCTGTCTTGGGCAAAGGTTGTTTACTGTCTGTTGTCTGTTGAAATTTTTCATCATATAGGCAAAATGCAGGATGGGAATATGGAGAACAGCCAGAACAAAGGTAATCTTCTTTCGTATTAAGGAGGTTGTGGATTTTATTTTTAGCATGTAGTTAAATTCTGTTAAAAAGTAACATAAAAATCTGTGATTTCTGCCTGTGTGTAAAAGTGGCCCTGTTGTTCAAACAGAATGTTCGACCCCGCCCCAACCAACCAAACCTGACAAAGAAACCTTCCCAGGTGTTTATAACTTACAGATATTTAGGATAGGAGAAGAGCAGTATTTCTAATGAGCCATTTATAGATTATGCTTTCATGTCACAAAGCTCATTTAAAATCCATTTTCTTGTGCAAGTTATGTATGCTATGTATTGTTAGTGGATTTCCAACCCTATTTTTGATATGTCTCATCACCTTGGTGTTTAATGGCATTGTATGGACACATTTTCTTTTGCAGGGAGAAGGTAAAGCAGTAACAAAAGGAAACCTAAAAGCCAAGAGGTTATTCAGCAATGTAAGAGTATAGTATAAGGATAAATAACAGGAAGATTAAGAATCTTGGGAATTCCTTATTTAACGTTCAATCTCAGGATAGAATTGAAATAAATAGTTTGCTTTCTCTGAAGCAAAGTCATGGTTCCCTTTCTACTGTATGAGACACAGTTATCACAATTTCTTTGGGTCATGCCAAAGAAGTCAACTAAACTACAGCTTTCTCTTTTCAGATAGTACTGAAGATTGCAGAGGTGATAGATCAGAAACTGAACAGATAAGCTCAGTGGTTAATGATACAAAACTATTAAATAAAATGGTATTAAACAAGTAAGGCTTAAGGTTAGGTAGTCGAATTAGATTTCCAGATCAAATAAGCACAGTTTTGTACAAGCTCTTCACGAATGTCAAAGCAAAGCTGTTTCATCTCATTCTGTTTAATTTACTTATGTCTGTGTTCGATACAAACCAGATACATACACATATATAAACTGGAATGTCATTGCTTTAAAAAAACATGTCTCTCTCTTTGATACTAAAATAAAGTTTCCTTATATGAGCATTAGCGTTCGTTCTTTCAAGAACGGATGGTTTGGCCCTTAAATGGTGTGTTTTTTTTTATGTGAGACTGATGATGGTGTCCCCATCGGATGGTTAAGTTACTTGAATACCGAATTCTAAGGAAACTTTTAAAGTCTGGTTTTACCTAGAATAGCAGTTCATGAAACGTGATCCACTGGTCTTTGCGGTGCCCATGTGGTCAAGAGATGAGGCCCATAGATCATCTGTGGGACTACGTTACCTTTAAAATGTTTTCATGAGAGGTGTGACTGTAAGGGTGCATTGTAATCTATGAGGCATAACAACATTTAGAGAAACACAGACTGTCTATTTGCCAAAGCTTTTGAGATCTATTCTAGGAAAACCTGCAAGTAATCTGCAAGACATTAAGTGATATATATGTGTATAACACAGAATGTCATCGGTGGTTTAAAAAGATCAACCAATAAATAAAACCCAATGACTTTCATGGTGCTTGACAAAGAGTGCAGCCCTGATACCCATGTTTATGGGGTGCACATGGGTGTGCTTGTACATTTGTGCCATGCAGAAGCCCCCTGGGTCTCACAGGGGTATCTGACTGCCATGGGAGTGAAGTGTAATCCTGTGCATAGAAATAGTCATTCATGTTGCAGTCAGCCCCTTCAATGACTGTTGCTGGTTGAATTCAGTATCAACATCAGAATAAAAGGAATGAATAGTTTTGGAGTAACTGTTCTGTTCTGCATTATTAGCCAAGCAGCAGGATGGGGCTGCTGCCATGGAGATGCAGCCGCTGAAGAGTGCAGAAGGGGGAGAGGGAGATGACAAAGACAAGAAGAAATCCAACATGCACAAGAAGGAAAAATCTGTTCTTCAGGGAAAGCTGACCAAGCTGGCAGTCCAGATAGGCAAAGCAGGTATGACCGGATAACTGACTGAGGAAGCAGTATGTTATACTGGCGACAAAGGGGTTTAGAGCCAGTTATTCTTAAAGCAGGATGGGCCTCTTACTGCAATATTTAGAAATGGGTCATCTTAATGCTTTTCTAAAGATAGTTATGTGGTATTGAAGATCTTTTATTCTCCTAAAACTTAGCTTTGATTGTCAAGAAACTGGAAGCTTTAGGCAACTTGGATTGTAATGAATATTTGAATCAAAATGTCATAGTTAAGATTCCCAAATGCAGTAATTACAAATTTAATTTCCTCTCCACTTAGAACTTCTGAGTACACAGTTTCAGAATCTCTAATATCATCACAAAATACCACTCACACAGCATGTCCTATTACTGATTCAGAAAGCATTCTGTTTTCTCTTAATATCCATATTCCTGCCTTTTACCCAAACATGACACATCCAGTACCACCTGGTCCCTACTGTTAGAAGTAGCACTTCTCCAACATGTAGGTAGAAAGTGAAACTCTTTCATAATGACATAATATTCATTAGATTCTTTTTTCTAGTGGTGTTAAAGAGAACTTAATCTCTATCCAGATCCTTGGCAGACGCCCTACACCAGATTCCTAACTTTACCTCTGTGCAGTCTCCTTTATCCTTCTTTACCAGTTTGATTTTACCCCTGCTAGTCCTTCTCATTCCTTTCTAAGTTCATTACACTTAGTTGATCATGTAACACCATGATGCCACTTCTATCTCCACCTGAACAGTCCATGGCTTAGAATCTGTAGGTATCATCTCTTTCATGTCCAGTTTCATGCTTTGGCCAGTTTCATATTCCTTAATCTTCTCTGCTTTGTTGCTAGTTGTAAAACAGTTGCATTGATATAAAACCACTTCATTTCTCATGATCATTAATATCTTAAATACCTTAAATACCTTTCTGCATTGCCTTCTGTTTATTACTCTCTTTGGTATTTCTGCATAGATGTGACTATCACTTTTAAAGCGATAACGGCGATTTCTAAATAAAATGTGGCAAGTAATAGGAATTCAATTAATTATTGCCTCATTTGATTTTTCTTTGTCATTGGGCAATCTGTGGGGATGTCTTGCGTTGTCATGAGTATTTGCCTTTACAATATTTTAATGGTTTTCCTTTATCCTCTGGCATATACCAGTCTCCATGGCTCATCTGCTTCCTGTCAACCTTAGCATCCTTCAGCTTACCCAGTCAAGACATGAAATTCACAGCATTCTACATCTCCCATATGATCTCATTAGAGAGAAATTAATTCACACTGAAATGCAGGCTTAATGGCTGCATAGAAACCTGCCAAAGAGCAGCAATCACAGAAGGCAAAATAGATGTTCCAACGGAGTTTGTATTTGTATGCTCAAATCCAGGCACAAAACTGCAGAGGGGGAGTGCTTGCTTAGCAAAGTCTGTGTCACTGGGAGAGCATATTAAGTCCCTGAGATCTTCCATGAATTGGTGTCTCTTGTGCTCTGTTGTCAGTGTCAGACCCCTTGAGCCTCTCTTCATAAAAATACATGTGGTTTACAAATGGCCCTTTGAGAAGGGAAACCTTGGACACACTGGTATTTATCACATTTTCAAGAAAAGCAGGGAAAACCTGCTCTGTGGATGATCCTGCAGCATTGCCTCATTGTATTCAGTCAGGCACATCAATAAGGCTTTCCTAAAATATCTTATACAGCAACATAAACTACAGGAGACTCCTTTTCTCAAGCCTCTTAAGATAAGCTTATTTAAAAGAAAGATGAGTGTTTGAATGTGGATAGACCAGTAATTTGTGAAAGGTGGAGGTTAAAAGGACAGCTAAATGTTGTACCAAAGTACTGCACTAAAGGGAAAACCCTCCAGTAACAGCGAGCTCCTGTGGAACCAGACCGACTGTGAAGCTTTAGTGGCAGCAGTAAGATGGTGCTTAAAAATTAACATGATATGATTCAGCTGTTCTGTAGAGTTCAGCATTTCCTTATTCACTGAAATGTAGGGCTGTTGTAAATGCATTATAGGAATGTTTTTTCTGCATTGTAAAGTATATCATTATCATCATTATTGGTACTGGTGAAAAGTGTCATGTAGAATAAGAAAATTCTAATGTAGATTTCTAATTGCACATGGTTTTAATTGTGTTTTGGTTTATAGTAATTGATTATTTCTCTTTTCAGGTTTGGTGATGTCTGCCATCACTGTAATAATTTTGGTACTATATTTTGCCATTGACACGTTTGTGGTCAACAAGAAGCAGTGGTTGCCTGAGTGCACTCCTGTCTATGTTCAGTATTTTGTTAAATTCTTCATTATTGGGGTTACTGTACTTGTGGTTGCCGTTCCTGAGGGACTTCCACTTGCTGTCACTATTTCTCTGGCTTACTCTGTAAAGGTAAGAGGCATTAATAATAATTACGGGAGAAAATGCTGTTCAGTTGAGTTTACTAGTGAGTCTTCAGGTTTTATTAGGTGTGATGAAGAGTGGCCTGTAAATAAATGTGCTCAAAATATTGAGTGGAATTCCTTTGAAGTGACACTTTGCTTTATATTAAAAGTATCTGTCAAAACTGCAAGTACACATGTATTCTAATACGTGTCTTTAAAACCACCCAGTGCAGCAGAAACACCTACTTAGTTTGCAAGGGCACCAGGAATTCATTGAGCAGAATTTACTATGAGATTTTGACACAGAATAACTTTGTCTTCACATTTTACTTGTGCAATAGTACAGAATTTTTACAAGGGTTTGAAGCCTTCAGGAACACTTCAAAGAAATGAGAGTTTCACCGGAGCTTTCACGTCCTTTTCTGAAGTGCAGTTGCAGTTCTTTGTAGCCAGTGTAAATGATTCTGTGAGGAAATGAAAGAGGATTGAAATCCTGCACTTGTGGACCACTCTTATCTCAGGAGTTTTCTCAGATTGTTTTAGCAGCTTGGTCATATTTTACGAATCTTAGATGAAGATTTTGTGACGTTTACTTAGTATGTACCCAAATTAATGTCTGAACATTAGGAAGGAATAGCTCTATTTATATGTAGCCAAACATCATCGTCATCAGGAAAAAGGAGCTCCTCTCAAGGATGGCATTTTGCTAATAAAGACTTTAGCTGCTTTTAAAATGCTTTCCCAGTCTCCTTATATCCTTCCTACAACACATGCAGCACACAGGTGAGTATCTGTATGTGCAGTGTCCAGCTGCCATACAGCTGTGTGTACAAGGGGTGGTACTGCACCCTCTGAGGATATGCTAGTGTCTGACAGTAATGTCAGGTGATGGGACACAGGGTGGTTTTAATGTTGAGAAGACAGAAGCAATGACACTGCATTTCCAGGTGCATTGTGGAATGGAGTACTCTACCGTGGTGGTTTTTTGTAGTGTGGGGTTTTTTGTGGTTGCTGGTTATTTGTTGCTAGTTTGTTTCTTTCCCCAAATGTGTGGTCCCTCGGTGTGTTGCCACATCTCATCCTGGCACTGGGAATAGAAAACATGTAATGTTACTATTTAACATTTAATGACACTGTTTAAAAAAAATCTTGCTATGTTCAGTTTCTTTAGCTAATCTCTGCTGTTCTGGCTATTCCTTAAAATGTACATATATTGCAAAAAAGGGCAGGACTGTGTCGGTTTATGAAGGCAAAATTATTGCAGGGCTAGTCACTGCTTGTTTGTCTGTGACTAAGCATTGGGTTATCATCCCCAGTCAGAGTTCTAGTTCAGTGAGCGTTGTGTACTCATGGACAAGACTAAATACATGCATTTTGCTTTTCCTGACTGATGTTATAAATGTGTCAAAGCAGCTCTTGACAGCTCTTTATTTTGCTTTTCCTCAGAAAATGATGAAGGATAACAACCTGGTCCGCCACTTAGACGCTTGTGAAACTATGGGTAATGCTACAGCCATCTGCTCCGACAAAACAGGGACGCTGACGACCAACCGGATGACAGTGGTCCAAGCCTACGTTGGGGATGTCCACTACAAAGAGATCCCTGACCCAGACTCCATACCCGCCAAAACCCTCGAACTGCTGGTTAACGCAATTGCTATCAACAGTGCTTACACTACAAAGATCCTGGTACGTGGGCTTTCTCTGTCAACAGAATGAAAACTAGGAGTTGTAATGTTTCAAGCAATGTTAATTCCTTAACGTCCTGTTGTCGATTATAATAGAGCGTTAAATACCACTGAGGTCCTCAAAATGAGAACAGGTGCTGTAAAAACTATATATTTGTATCTTTTAAGGATAGGGATGTACTTAACAAGTACAAGACCATGCTACATTTAAAACTCTCCTGCTGTCAGATTGGTATGGCCCAGTTTTGGTGCACTTAAATTTAAAAGCAGAACAAGTTGTCACTGAGACTTCATATGTGCACAGTTATTTCTGTGTGTCTAAGAACTTTCAATTCTGAAATAGGATAAATTGGATTGGTTAAATCAATGAGGTTCATGATCTTTATTCATTCTGGTTTGAAGTGAATTACATCCAGAAGTATTTTATTCACTCTGTAGAGAAAGGCAAAGTGGAAATATCCTGCTTGCTAACAGCAGCAGATTCTTCTGTAAGAAGCTAATTAAGAGGCTGAAAACTTTTGCAGTTCCAATAGATTTGCTCCTGTAAAGACCAAGCTTAATCTTAGTATTACAGATGTATTTGTTTAGTTTATGGGTTTATGTGTTATTTTCATAGCTCTGTGCTGAGCTGTTTAACGTAGCCTTGCCTGCACTTCATGTTTAAGAGTATTCTGTTAAAATACAACCACAGAAAACAGGATACAAGTACAGAAATGCTGCTGAGGGCTGGAGCATGTATTTCCTTGGAATTCTTGCAGTGTAAACATCTGGATATTAGTAGCAATCAATACTTGGAAGAAGGCTGTTTAGAGAAACCTGACGCAGATACACCAAGTGTGTTTGTAGCAAACGTGGTTTTGAAATGAAGGCTCCCGAGGGCTGTGTGGCCAGGGTTAGTGTCTGACGTCAAGGCACAGCTGAGGCACCCTTCAGACAGTCATCTGTGCTGTACTGCGCTCACTCTTCTGTTCCCACTGAAATCCCTCTGGAAAGGGAAATGTGGGGAGAACCAGCCCCTGAGGCAGCTGGAGCTGCTTCCGACAGCATGAGTGGACAGGGAATCACACAGACACTCCATCTGCTCACAAAGATACCATTGGTAGCCACCTTCTAGGTGCAACCAGACAGCAATGTGAGTGCACCTCTCTACAGCTGCACTGTAGAGAGAAACAGCTCTGGTCAGCTGAGGCTGGATATTATTCTGTCCTTTTCCTATGTGCTGTCAAAATTGACCCTGATAACTAAAGTGCAAGATGGGCCTTCCACTCTCAGGTGGTTCAGTATAAATGCTGTGTAATAGTGCATATTTGATGGTAGTGGCTTTTTGGAATCTTATCTGCACATTTGTAAGTTAGCAAGAGTATTTTACTATTGCTGGGTAAATGATGATTTCAGAAATTTATTTGATTACATTTGATTGCTAGGGAGAGGAACATCTTATTTTAATACATCTTATTTTAGTATTGTTACAGCCTAAGTAAGATTAGATACTTCCTTCTGTAGAAAGAGACAGAATCAAACTCATTCTCAGCACACATCTGTGGTTAAGACAAGGTAATAGGGATAAACTGGGATGAAGGCTGGGAGAAAGCTATATAATTGTGTTTGTGTAAGTGCTACAGAGGTGATGCTGATCACCAGCATCAGTCCTTGCTGCCACTGTGGCATCTGACTTTGGGAGGGCCTTGAGAGAATATTACTAATGTTAGCAGAATTTTCTTCATTCCAAAGGAACAACAAGGCAGAAGGCAGCAGGTTGGGTGGCGGTGAAGTCAGGTGCGACTGGCAGAGCAAGGCTCCATGTCAGCTCTGCTTCATTTGTTTTACATTTAACTGTTCATTCTGAATGCCCGAGATCAAACACAGTAACCAGTGTTTCTGTTCAACATCCATTCCACTGCCCTCTCTGAATCTCAGACTAGATTTAGGTTTCTGAGTGGCATCAGACTTCCCAGAGTGAAGCGCATGTAGTATTAAATATAACATTCTGTCTTTCTCTTGTGGTAATAGTTCCATTTGACTGGAAAATTTCTGGTCAGTAATAGTTCTAAAATTTCACTTTGGTCTCAGTATAATTTTGAACTTTTTTTAACTCTGGCTTGACTTCATTGTTTCCTGTTGAAGTGAGTTACGTGTGTCTGTTAGGAAGAGTCAGTATTTCACCATTTCAGTTCTTTTTTAGCTTCGCACAGAGACTGATTCTCTGTCAAACTGATAAATGGGTGAAATCCCCTGGAAATCACCTTTGTGCTGGATGCATAGCAGATGACTGCTTGAACTTCTCTATGTAAAATTAATGGTGACTTTTAGCTATAATTCTGTCATAAAATCAAGCCTTGCAGTACAGCTGCCACAAGAATAACAACTCCAAATACCAGAGGAGTTCATTTATTCATTGTTTATAACAAGCTTTAGCTAAAGTGTAAGATACAAGGTATTGTTCCATAGCCCCTTTTAAATCATAAATAAATACAATTGAAAACACCTAAGGGAGTTGTTTCTAGGATAAAGCATACAGAATGATTCTAGCTGCTAATACTGAATGCATACTTGTGCACCCAGAGTATATTTAATCATATTGTGAACATCAGCTCAAACCCAAAGGGTGCATGTGTTATAAGACTGAATTTTACACATGCTATTTTTAGTCATCTAGTTCTGTGTATGCTGTAAATTGCGCTTTGTATGAACTTCTGTTCAGAGTGATCACATATGGGACCATAAAATTAGTCAAGATGCTCTGCTGAATGATAAATACTCCCTCTTGCATTGTTTTTTGATTAAGGGGCAATTGAACCACTGATAAAAATATAAAAAGAAAATAATATCCCTGCTTGGGATAAAAGATTTGAATTTCCCTGAGAAATTAAACACAAATTAGTCCAACTGAACAATAGCATCGTTAAATATAGTTCTTTTTAACGCTTTCCAAGGATCAAGTTACTGAGTGAGCTGCTTTTGCATTCCATTAGCTGCAGAGCCACTTTAATGCTGGTTTTATGCTGGTATTGTGGAGCTGTTCTCCAGAAAACCTTTCTTTTCCAACAGTCATGTTTTCGATAGCTTTCCCACACAGAAATAAAGATTAGACTTCATACATTTTTGCATGTGAGCTGTGATGAGGACTGTAAAGTATCTCTTACCCTGAAAACAAAATTTGCATTTTGGGAGTATTTTCCATGCACTTGGAGCAGAAGCACATTGGTCTTGAATATCATGGAGAAGTCATGAAATAGAGACTCCAAATACCACTGCTAGTGATTTGAACTCCTCTACTGAGCTCCTGCTTGCAAAAATTCAGTTTTAGTAAGAAGAGTATTTCTTCTGATTTCCTGAAAGCTGTCAGAGGGCACAGATGACATGGTTGTGGGATGTGTATAATGAGTTCTTACTAAGAAGAGATTGCAGTTAGTATTTAATAGAGGGATTTTCAGCTCCAGTGGAGAACACCCAGCTGAACCCGTTATTATTAGGATCTAACATAGGCATTTCAGCTGGTACTCCGTAAGTGCCTGGGGAGCAAAAAAGCTACTTATGCGTGTATTAGGTGCATGTCTGGAGCTGCAGGGCTGTTCTCAGTTCTAGTGACCATTTACTGCATTTGCGTAGCGTGTGGTACAATGCAGCAGCATCCTTCAGCTGAGGATCTCAAAGGAAAAAAGGCCGAGATGTCACAGGCAAGTCTATGTGTTTGTAAATGTTAATCAAGTAACGAATGTGGCCTTGTAAAACTTTGGAACAAAAAGGCCTTTATTGGATAAAACTGAAAGGGGCGAAGGAAGCCAGGACACAGAAAGCAATGTTTCCTGTTTATCATCTGCCTGAAGAACACCTCTTTGTGACACCATAACATCTACCTATGAAACAGTGAAGTTGTCAAAGTTGCTACCAGCACCCAAATTCCAACCATGTTTCTACCATAGCCCTACATGAGGGTCTCCACATTCTGCTCAGACCCACCACTCCTCACGAGGCAACAGGGAGGGCCCGGAGGGCAGCGAAGAGCAGGGATTCTCCACAGGCTTTCCTGAGAGGAGTTCTCCATGGAGGAGAGCAGTGGTCATCCTCCGTGGGAGATGGTGCTGAGAAAATGGGCTGGCTCAGGGCATCGGCGCGGAGCAGGAGTATGGAGCTAACAGGCACAGCCTTTGGGATTTACGAGGAAAGGAAGGAAGGTGTGAATTCACCTTCTTGCTTAGTATAATTCCTTTTCCTTGAATAGATAATGAATTATCTTATTAAAATAAGTGGAACAAAATTTCTAACTTTATTCTGAAAGCGGTTCAAGAGATTTTGGCACAGAATTTTATTGCTAAGAATAGAGTCCTTTTGACTGTCTGATGCAGGAGACTGGAGTGGATGCACTTCATGCTTTCTTGGGGAAGAGGGGTGGAGGGAGGCTGGCAGGGCAGGGAGGTAACCCAGGATACAGGAAAACCAGAAGAAATTACTGAAGTGAAGTGGTAAAAGTAATGGAAAATAAGATTTTAATACAGCAGCTGCTGTGCAGGAATAGGTGGAAATCTGTTGTGGGTATTGAGAACATGGATGTAGTAGCCAGGTGAAGGGCTCTTTTTATTTGTGAGGAATATATTTGCATCCAAATGTAGCACAGCTGTCTGGGTTGTGGGAATACATAATCTTCCCTTCAGAACAGCCCTCATGCAAAGCACTAATACTTCTCTTACTGATTTTTATTCCTTTCAGTCAAATGTAGACTGGATTTCATTTATCAAATACTTGAATTTATCTTGTCTACTGTTTTTAACTGGATGAAAAAATTGTCTCAAAAATAATATATATATATATATATGCACACATATACTATTTAGCCAACAAATTCCCTTTACCTTTCATAATTCCATCACTTCTTGAAAAAAACTTTAAAGTTGTTTTGAGGAATACGGATATTTGGAAGCTTCCTACTGGGTCATTTAAAAACTTGAGTAGTAGAAGGTTGGTTTATGGATTTTTGTATACATTTCCCCACATTACCATATA